AGTGCTACTTTATTTGAAATTTCAAGGAAAAAGTTGTATGATAATCGGAAACTTTTAATTAATTATTTAAATTTGTATATATAAACGTAAATATATTAAGTGTAAATATTTAAACTTTAAAAAAAGGGTAAATAAACCACCAACCCAAAAACAATCATATAAGTAAAATGTATTCGACCTTTCTTCAACATATATATAAGTCTATCAATTGTAAATAACTTTAATGTAACATTGTCAATAAACGGAAGCTCAAACCTAATTAAGGCTGTCTTTTCTATACCCATTTGAACTAACCATTCACGGGGAAAACTATAGCTTTCATTCTTGTGATTGACACCCCTTAGACTGCATATAGTTTTAGGTTGCTGCGAGGCCTGAAGACGGAGAAGACGACCACAACCTAAGGATGGAGCCAAGACCACACCCGTGGGTCTTTCTAGGTATAATCTAGTTCCAAAAGAGTCCAGCTGAATGGATATTTTTAATGTAATTTTTATAACTAACCTTCTCTTCTCTTTTAAATTGTTATCAATGTCCGATATCTAAACACGTTTGTATGTCCTTTCCCTGTCCATCATCCATTCAAATGTCATTGTTTTATCATCAAAATGGCCCCATTCTAATTCACTGTATACATTTTCGGTATTTTAAAATGTTAGTATTCATGTTGAAGTACTTGTTAATAAGTGCTACTTTATTTAAAATTTCAAGGAAAAAAATGTATGATAATTGAAAACTTAATTACCTTTCAAAATTTGTATATATATACGTAAATATATCAAGTGTGAATATTTAAACTTTAAAAAAGGGGAAAAAAAACACCAATCCAAAAACAATCAAATAAGTAAAATGTATTCGACCTTTCTTCAATATATATATAAGTCTATCAATTGTAAATAACTTTAATATAACATTGTCAATAAACGGAAGCTCAAACCCGATTAAGGCTGTCCTTTCTATACCCATTTGAACTAACCATTCACGGGGAAAACTATAGCTTACATTCTTGTGATTGACACCCCTTAGACTGCATATAGTTTTAGGTTGCTGCGAGGCCTGAAGACAGAGAAGACGACCACAACCTGAGGATGGAGCCAAGACCACACCCGTGGGTCTGTCTAGGTATAATCTCGTTCCAAAAGAGCCCAGCTGAATGGATATTTTTAATTGATATTTTTATAACTAACCTTCTCTTCACTTTTAAATTTTCATCAATGTCCTACATGTAAACAATTTTGTATGTCCTTTCCCTGTCCATCATCCATTCAAATGTAATTGTTTTATCATCAAAATGGCCCCATTCTAATTCACTGTATACATTTTCGTGTTCAAAACACATTTTCAGTATTTTAAAATGTTAATAATCATGTTAAAGTACTTGTTAATAAGTGCTACTTTATTTGAAATTTCAAGGAAAAAAATGTTAATTTTAAACTTTTAATTACTTTTTAGATTTGTATCAAGTGTAAATATTTTAAACTTTAAAAAAAAAGGTAAAAAAAACCCACTTGAACAATATTGGTCTTTTAATCGGGTTATGTTCCTCTCTGGTTTTGCTATTTGTTTAGCAAAATAATCCTTTAAAATCATTGGTGTGTGATTTTACTGGATAGGCTTAGATTTAACAATAGCAAAACGGAGTTGAATGTTTTGCGAATCAACTTGATTGATCAACAGCGTTTTTTTATTGTAAGGAGCGGTATAATGTTGCGATAGTCTTGAGTTTAAATTCTTCTTTTGAACGTTGGTAAAAAAAAGCAACCAAAAAACATCAAACAGAAAAGAAAAATGTATTTGACCTTTACTCAATATATTTATATACCAATCAATTTTAATCAACTAAAAAGTAACACAACGGAAGCTTAAACCCAATTAAGGCTGTCCTTTCTCTACCCATTTGAACTAACCATTCACATGGAACAACTATAACTTACATTCTTGTAATTAACACCCCTTAGACTGCATATAGTTTTAGGTTGCTGCGAGGCCTGAAGACGAAGAAGACGACCACAACCTGAGGATGGAGCCAAGACCACACCCGTGGGTCTTTCTAGGTATAATCTCGTTCCAAAAGAGCCCAGCTGAATGGATATTTTTAATGGAATTTTTATAACTAACCTTCCCTTCACTTTTAAATTGTTATCAATGTCCGATATGTAAACACGTTTGTATGTCCTTTCCCTGTCCATCATCCATTCAAATGTAATTGTTTTATCATCAAAATGGCCTCATTCTAATTCACTGTATACATTTTCGGTATTTTAAAATGTTAGTATTCATGTTGAAGTACTTGTTAATAAGTGCTACTTTATTTAAAATTTCAAGGAAAAAAATGTATGATAATTGAAAACTTAATTACCTTTCAAAATTTGTATATATATACGTAAATATATCAAGTGTGAATATTTAAACTTTAAAAAAGGGGAAAAAAAACACCAATCCAAAAACAATCAAATAAGTAAAATGTATTCGACCTTTCTTCAATATATATATAAGTCTATCAATTGTAAATAACTTTAATATAACATTGTCAATAAACGGAAGCTCAAACCCGATTAAGGCTGTCCTTTCTATACCCATTTGAACTAACCATTCACGGGGAAAACTATAGCTTACATTCTTGTGATTGACACCCCTTAGACTGCATATAGTTTTAGGTTGCTGCGAGGCCTGAAGACAGAGAAGACGACCACAACCTGAGGATGGAGCCAAGACCACACCCGTGGGTCTGTCTAGGTATAATCTCGTTCCAAAAGAGCCCAGCTGAATGGATATTTTTAATTGATATTTTTATAACTAACCTTCTCTTCACTTTTAAATTTTCATCAATGTCCTACATGTAAACAATTTTGTATGTCCTTTCCCTGTCCATCATCCATTCAAATGTAATTGTTTTATCATCGAAATGGCCTCATTCTAATTCACTGTATACATTTTCGTGTTCAAAACACATTTAGTATTTTAAAATGTTAGTATTTATGTTAAATAACTTGTTAATAAGTGCTACTTTATTTGAAATTTCAAGGAAAACAATGTATGATAATTGGAAACTTTTAATTAATTTTTTAAATTTGTATATATAAACGTAAATATATTAAGTGTTAATATTTAAACTTTAAAAAAGGGTAAGTAAACCACCAACCCAAAAACAATCAAATAAGTAAAATGTATTCCACCTTTCTTCAATATATATATCAGTCAAACATTGTAAATAACCTAAATATAACATTGTCAATAAACGGAAACTCA